TGATGTTATCGCATCCAGTCCTGTCCAATTTTACAAGTATTCGTATCCATTATCATCATGAAGGAAACAGCGGTGTGGTCCATACCATTCGTGTCGGCTCTCTTCGGTCGTAGAGTGACTGTGATGACAACAGCGGTTCGCACAATTCTCGCACTGTCGGTGACATCGGATGGGACCGTCCATGAACCTGAAGCGCCGATTGAGTCGATCCCATATTTGCCACAAAAGTTCCAACAGCTGTGCCATGGAAGCGCGGTCGATGCGCCAGCGAGTGTCAATCATCATTTGTTGATCCATGCCTGCAGCAACGAAGGGTGCCTAAGTTGGGTGGCTGTCTTTGGACCTGAGCAGTGCTTCGGGTACCTGACATGTTGAGATGAATGTATCTGAATCGTCATCATGTCTGCAGGCAAGTACAGCATACAGGTCAGAACTGTCTTTTAGGCACGAAACTTCGACGCGACTTTAAAAAGCTCCTGAAGTTCGAAACCGCGTCTTCTGTAGATTTCAATTAAGTCCTCCACTTGCGGTCGAATCAGGCGAATTGGTCGGGCATGTCGCTTGATACTGAGGGCTCTGGCCTGAAAACCTGACAATGCTGCGCTGTGATCCCCTGCGGATCGAGTGGACCTGAGAACTGTCTCATTGATCGGTTGTCGCATGGCGATGGTGCCTTGTGTCACAGATGTAGTTGATCCTAACAATTCTTCTCCCGGTACTGGTTCCAGCTCGATAGGCAGACCGTAGAAATCAAGACGTAAGAAGAGGCAAGCCCAATCATTGTAGCATTCGGCCCTTCGCAGAAAGAAGCATCTGTTGTCTGCATACCGAAAACTACGAAGTAGACCTGCATCGTCCAACTGAGTTCTGAGGCTGCGAATGGTCAAGAATTCTTGCGCTCAGCAGCAACCATTGCACACAAGACTGGGGCCAAAGGTGATCCCATACATGCGCCTTGAATCTGACAGAAAGTATCCATTCCCACCTTGAAGTAGGCTGACTGCAGCAGGAATCTGGTCAACTCCATGACATGTCTGATATGAAGGACCTTCGTAGTGGATCCGCGAAAACGTCGATGGCCTTTGAAGATCCTGAGGTCTTTTGTGCCTGCTTTGTGATCCACCTGAAAGGTCAAACTGTCAAGATCCTGACCGAAGTGTTCCTGCAGCTGGTACAGAACTAGTTGTAGGGCAGTGCAGATACGAGAGTGTGGAACTGAATTGAAGAAGCCGATAAGGTCTTGTTGGATCATGACTGGGTCGTCCTGCTCGAACTGTTGCATGTACCTCCAAGCTTGTCTGAGGCCTGCTGTGACGGAGCTGATATTCAGTGTGGTTCCTGCTGGGAAAAGAACCTGCATGATCGAATACAGCGCTGTGGCTAAGAAGGAGCTGGCCTTGGTGTGCCAACATTTCGCGTAGGCTATGATGGGTCTGGCTTTCGCGAAGTTTTTGGATCCTTTGGGAAGGATCCTTGCATTCGGGAGACCTCGGTTCCACTGAAAAGCCCACTTGTAGCACTGGAGTTCCGGACGCTTGTCCTCAAATTCTCGCTGCAAATGTTGAATGATGGTGCCTGTACCGTTCCTGCGTGGCATAAACACTGCTGGGTCGCCAAAACTTCTGCACAGCAACTTATGATAGTGAACAGGGCAGGCAACGAAAAGCGAGTGTGGGAAATGATCTGCAGGTCCCAATACCAATCCTGCAAAAAGACGGGTGGCCTCCTTGACTTGTCTGGGATTCCGCACGGATTGTGTGTCTTGGTGCAATGCTGTGACATGAAGACTCCACTGCTTGTCTACCCAGGGTGACATGTATTTGATGGCATCTGAAGGAAGCTTCCATCGATTGCACCAATTCGTTAGTGCTGCAAGAACCTGCGACTTCCAGGTGTCTTCCTGAAGAAATGTGGTGTCTGCAAGGTTCGCCTTAGCCAAGCACGATGTCGGGGCGATGTCCCTGGCTGCACACATCACATGACCTTCCACGATCGAACTGGCCTGGGTGGTCGGTTGATGCATCCTGCACTTGCACTGGACCTTTGCATTCCTAGTCCAGGTTCGCATGAAAGCACGATAGTTGAAAACAAGCTGTGTCAACTGTTTGCCCCGCCTGAGAACCAGTTTATCGGATGGCAAATGCAGGGGTGGGAAGTTGTACTTCTGCGGTCGAAGCAAGCTTCTTATGAACAACTTCACCTCTGTCCGTAGATCATGTGCAGCAGGTTGCAGAATGAGAGGCACATTCTGTGGCGGCAAGTCACCTTTCCTGAATCGAAGCACACTCTGCAACTGTCGCTGAGCTCGGCCTCGCCATGGTTCATCGATGAACTTCAAGAGTCGAGCTCTGAGATACAGTGCAGCAAGAGGTACTTTGTTCGTGCGTAGCAGCTTGGATTCCTCGAATTTCTGACGAGTGTTAGATCCTAAGCGATACAATGAACGGCAAACCTCGGTCGAATCAGCAATGGTATGTTGATTGAATGCCACGGCAACATGTCTGTATCGTGCATGTCTGCTGGCTCTGCAAATAAACCGTATCCCCACCTTCGTGCCGAAAACCGCGAACTTCTTCTCATGTAGTCGGAGCTTGCTGAGCATCACTCCGACCCAAGGGGCATTCAGATTGCTTCGGTACACCTGAATCAGTGAAGATTCCAGAGCTAGCCTGGATTCCAATTGTGGTTCTTGGTGAAGGACCACACAAATGCCCTGGCAAAAATTACCTTGGTAGTGCCAGATCTTCAGAGCAGGCTCACAGTAAGCAATCCGGTCTCGTGATAGTTGGATCAACTTGCGTCTTCGTGTCAGTTCCCTGCGATGAACGGTTTGCCCAGTAGATCCGATGTACAACTGAGCACC